ATGAGAACTACATGAGAACTATACGTGAACTACATGAGAACTACATGTGAACTAAATGTAAACATGTTAACTACATATAAACAACATGTGAACTACATGTGAACAGAGGGTAAATGTTCTGCATTTTTTCTCCTTTCTAGCTGAGTGCTGCTCGAAGCCCTTCACACACTGAAGGCAGCAGCATGTCAACAACATATGACTTCAGGTTGTTTTAACAAAGAATTAAAGATATTTTTATTCTAATATATTAATTATCATAATTTGAGATAAACTTTTGTGTGAAGCTGTTTTTATGTCTAACTGAGGACCTCCAGACGCTGGTATTGTGTCACAACATGCAGCTGACTGATCACAGATCAGACAAACAAAACCTGATCAATATGCAATCAGAAAGGCTCGTGCAGCTTATTGATCAGGACCCGGTGTGTCTCCGCTGAGAAAAGTAGCGCGCACATTGTGTCCCTCCGCGGCAGCTGGACCCGCTTTAACCCTTTTTAACTCTTCACTGTCCGCCGCAGAGACTCAGCCGGTCCCGGTCCCGGTCCGGCTGTCCGGTCTGGTCCGGCCCGGCTGTCCGGTCCCGGTCCCGGTCCGGCCGTCCGGTCTGCGGTGGTCCGCGGAGGTTTTGCGCAGTTGCGGCTCCTCCTGACTCAGCGCTCTGATGCCGCACAATGACGACACACCGCGCGCTCACGTTCAATCACACTTTACGTCAGAAACATGAGAAACACGCAGAAAAGAAGAAACTGGATAAAAAGAGACAGAAGAAGAAGAAATAAAGTGTAATAAAGTAAAATACTCACTCCATGACCGAGCAGATCAGTCCGCAGCAGACACCATCAGCTGATCCACATCCGAGACAGAAAACAGACCCGCCCACCGAGGAAGAGGAGGAGGAGGATGAAGAGGAGAAAGAGGATGAGGAGGAAGAGGAGGAGGGTTGGTCCGGTCCATGTTCAGCCTAATCTTTAGCAACTTTATATGTTTTTTCTTTATTTCTTTTATTGACATGTTTACGATAAAAAGCCAGTATTTTCGGTCATTCGTTCTTTTACAGTGTTGACCATAAAATTACATTTTTTTTCTGTATTTAGATCAACTAAATATAGTCAGTATATGAAGCACTAAAAAGGATTTTCCCTGTTTTAAGTTACAGATTATGTCTAATACAATCACAGAAAACATCTATTTACATGTTTACTGTTTTTAAAAAAAGCAACAACAAACACAAAATAACAGCTAAAACTGTACTTAATGTCAACATCAAAAATATGTATTTTTAAAAAGCGTAATTTGTTCTTTTACAGCTTGTGACCCTAAAATAGCAATTTTACTGTATTTAAATGAGTTAAAACTATCAGCATGGAACTCAGAAACTACAAGTCAGCCAAGCACAGCTGACACAAAACATGAAAACAAACTAATTTTTTCCCTTTCTTCTTCACTTGTCCTTTCCCCGCTGCCTCTTCTTCTTCTTCTCCTGTGGCAGCTTTCATTCTTTTCTTTCCCAGCGGCGTCTTGTCGTGCCAGTTCTGGAGACACACAAGGGACAAATATCACACATCATTATTAAATTACAATGACAAGAAACTAATCAAATCATGAAAATGTCATGAAAACTGAAAGAGTCACTTAACAGCCACTGAAAATCTTGTTTGCTGGTTTCACACACCTGCAGTGATGTCCAGGTGAACTCATGACATCACTGCAGACGTGGATACGAGTGCAACAAAACGCTTCTAAGTGCAGTCATCAGACTGTGGATGTGGTCAGAGATGAAACATGAAAATATCAATCAGTTCCTCCAGAACCTCCTCAGAACATCTGGTTCTGTATCTGCAGTACCTTTATCTGCTGATGAGAGTTCTACCTTCAGACTGTGAATATTTCAGAGTTCCAGGTCCTTGACGTCCATAGAGGAGGGTCCAGATTTATCACTTTCTTGGACTTTTTCCATCATTTCTGAGCCTCAGAACTTCATCAGGACAGCAGATAGACACATGACATTTAGGGGGAAGAACACATCTGAGTTCTGGTAGAAACTGACACCAGATCAGTTCTACATCGATCCTGGTGTCTCAATCTGAACACTGATAAGTTATAGCAGATGAAAGGTCTCACTTTACCTCAGGTCTTCTCAGGCTGAGTTGATTTTATAAAGAATAACCCCCATATTTGAAATTTTGTACCAGAGAGGAAAACAACCCTCTGGTCCTCAGTCTGGTGTTAAGTTACTCTTTAAACAATCAACACCTTCAGGGCTTCTTCCTCTTCCTGTAACACTGGGTCAGTCTTGGCTAATGGAGGAATGAACTCAGCAGCAGTCAGCGGACGGTCGGTTTGCAGCAGAATGCGACGCTTGGTGACAACACTGTGGACCGCCTGCACCATGTGACCTGGAGTGTAGCCGTCAGTGATCTCCACCAGAGAGCTGAGGTCCAAGGCCTCGGTCAGCTGCTTCCACAAGACTGAAAGCAAACAGAGGTCACTATTCACTCCAACTGAATAAAAATGCCAGAAATATCCAAACTGAACTGGGCTCGACAGCGTGACTCTGGGGTTCTCACTGTACCTGGGGCCGTAGTCCGGTCTCGGGATCAGGATGAGTTTGCTATACATTTTACACAGCGACTTAATGTCAGCACTGAGCGGGTCTTTAGTTGTTCCCATTATCAGAACACGATCCTCTCCTTTGATCAGTTTGAGAGACTTTAGCAAATCGTTCTGCAGCCGCTTAGGATCCAACTGTTGAGACACATTGAATAGTTAAAATGACCACGTGGATAAATAAAAAAAACATCTGTTCAACATGATGATCCTGCTATGGTTTCATTTTTCTCAACAATACCTCTTTTTCTTCCTTGGGAACTTTCTTGTAGAACATTTTCTCTGCGTCTTCGATCCATATTACTGGAGGCTGCAGCAGTCTTGCAACCTGAAAATGGTTTTGAAGAACTACCTTTTTACTTTCTGGTCAAGTGGAATGTAAATGTCACAGGGCTACACTTAGAGACAGACAACCAGCACACTCACACCTACGGAAAATTTAGAATCACCAATTAGCCTCAACATGTTTCTGGACTGTGGGAGGAAGCCAGAGAACCTGGAGAGAACCCACGCTGCACGGGGAGAACATGCAAACTCCACGCAGAAAGATCCCGGTGCCCCCACCGGGACGCGAACCGGCGAGGCAGCAGTGCTAACCAACTGCGCCACCTTGCAGCCCTCTCAAAGACCAGAAAAAAGCAATAACATGAGGACAATGTTGGCAGAATAAGAAAAAACATGAGTTATAATTATACGATATAAGCAAAATTTTCTGCCAACAGAAAGGGAAAATTTCACCCACAACATTTTTTATTTAGATGAAGATAAAAGAACTTTCCTGAAACTCCCACTTGGGACACTACATTTCTACACTCAACACATACAGTCAGTCAGAGGTTTGCTTGGTTTCTGACATGGTGTTGGAAATGTGACACAGACTGTGGCAAAGCCCACCTTCGGATTTATCATCCAATAGATGTGAAACCATTGTTCAAACAATGATCAAATGACATCTGTACACTTGGTTTAGTGGTTTTCATGTGTCTTTGTCCCCTGTGACTCTGATGAAGACACCGGCAGTACGTTTCCTTCAGTACCAGGGATCTCTGTCTGCATGTAGGCAGACTATTACACTGAACACAGGCGTCTCTTGACTGCATTTAACTGATCAAAACACAGTAGTGTTGAAATGTCAGTGTGTTTGCACAACAAAAGGCTTGAAATGGTCAGTGTGCTCCACAAACACCTCTGATTTCTGCAAGATGCCACAGCGGTCGAAACAAACCGTCTGCAGAGTTTCACCCAAGTAATCTTGCAGTCTAACATGGTCGGCCTGTTTCAGTAAACCCTGTTCCATCAGCTCCTGACGTCCCAGTCGATGTCAATAAATAATACATTTACACTGATGGGCTTCATACAACTCGATTCTGTCCTAAAACTCTGTGTATCCTCACCTATCAGCTGTCAGATCCTTTTCTTTTTTCATTCTTCTTTCCACTTTTAGATGCGTTCTTCTTCTGTTGAGTAAAATGAATATATTTAGGAAACTGCTCAAGTGAGTTCATGTAAACTGTGACCACCGTGTTTCATTTTGATACCTTTGCATTTGCCTTTGTTTTCACACCTTTGTCTTTATCCACAGACAGCTTCCATTTAAACCAATTCTGTGAAGCTTTGGCTGTTTCCTTCGGCTCATTGTCTTGATGGAAAACAAATCTTCTCCAAGTCTAGGTTCTCCTGCAGACTGCATCAGGTTGTCCTCCAGGATTTCTCTACACTTTGCTGCAATAATTTACCCTCTACCTTTACAAGCCTTCCAGGGTTGCTGCTGAGAACATCCCCACATCATGATGCTGCCACCAACAAAACAATACAGAGAGGCAACAAATCCACTATTTTTTAAGTTAAAATTGTTGAAATTTCACGAATTAGTAGACTACAGTGTTCTACAAACAATGTTAAAAGCACATAAGAAAACATGACCAACAAACATTCAGAAAAGATCTGAAAACAGAGAATGTAACTCTGATTTAAAAGGAACTGAGATCTTTAAAAAACCCAAATTCAGATCAAAAGTGACAAAGTGTTGTGTTTCTGTGAATGGAATCAGCTTATGGAAAAATCTGGACAAAGAACAAGTTTCAATATGTTGAGAAGATATGTTCATTTTGTCTGATTGTAAAGACAGTAAATAATCATGTCACATTTTCTGCTTTTTTTTTTTTTTTAAAGAGTATTAAAGGAAATGTAAAGTAAAACGTGACTGTAAGCTTTGAAGGACAGCTATTTCATGTTATTATTTTTGTTTTTGTTATGAGTATTTAGAAGTTTATTGTGTTGTTGTTGATGCTTTTCTAAAATGTATTTCTTTGGGTAAAGGAGGCAGATAACATCAGATTATTCTTCTTTCTGCTCCCTTTCATTCAAGAGTCAGGAATGTTTGTGTTCATGTTTAATTGTTTTGTTTTAACTCAATGAAGGAAATTAAAATTTAAATGAATAAATGAAATGAATGGTCAGTAGAAACAGCAGGTGGCACCATTCAGTACAAGAGGTTACCTGCAGGCCCGCTAGTTGCAGCTCGCGTCCCACGCAGCATCTATATGGCCGAAATAAATGATGTTTTTTTTGCTGTGAAGTTTCAACACCAGGCACTCGGCTGTTAACAAAAACACAATAAGGCTAAAAACAACTCTTAGTTTATCTTCTTGGTCATCGGACAAATGGAAGTGGTCGATTATAGCCGGGGGGGAAAAAGGGGCCTTTAAACCTTTAGATATTTCATCACAACAGTTTATTCGTCCACTCGTTACCTCTGTGCAGATAATCCTGTGAAATACATCATATCACAGATTTAAAGTATTTAAAAAAATAAAACACCTTCATATACAAAGTGCTTTTAATTGCTTAGTTTGCATTGTGAGGTTTTTCAAGGGTAAAAACATTTTAAAGGGGATAAATAATACTTGATAAACTAGTTGACTGTCATGTGTCACGTTATTTTTTATTTGATTTCTGCAAAATTAAACAGCAATACCCTCCTGAAAGCAAATTCTGTGGTTTCTCACTCGTATTTGGCGTAATTTGGATAAATAATCAGTTAAAATAAAATCAATGGACTGTAATAATTGGAGATTGTACGAAGAAGTAGCCCCTTAAAATGTCCTAAACAGCATGAAAACCATCCCTGCACTTTGAAGCACTGTTTGGGTTTATTCGAGGGATGCTGTTATGTAATTTTCAGAATTTAAAGGGTTTTTCACCATCTGAAAAGCCTTTCAACTGTGCAGCTAATCCATTAAATATCATATTATCTAATCTATTCATTCATCCAAATATTATTCCCTCCAAAGGTGGAAGGAATGTGATGACGTTTCATGTTGTCTTAATACAGGACGACTAAGAAACCACAACAGATCAGCGTAATGTTGCAAATATACCGAAAAATTAAATCCACTTTATGGTTTTGAAATAAGAGTGCAGGTACTGTTCTGTTTTCTGTTCCCTTTGAAACACCTTAATTACATGGAAACAGAGTAAGATCTTTTTTTCCCCTATGATGGTATTTAATGGGATTTTAAGGGGATAAATTAATGGACTGTTACATGAAGTCACACCAATTGATTTTGTGCACAGTCTAAGGCTTCTTAGGTAGAAAAACTCAAATAATATTCTATTCAGTTTTGTTAACAGATCTACTGATTCAAAGTAATATATTAAGTAGTGTAATTGATCATTTATCCAAATTAAAGGTTTTTGCTTGAAGCGGCAGTTAGCAGAAATCTGGAAAAAGGCAAAGAAAATATCAGAATTTGAAAACACAACCTCCTCCTGCTTTCTTAACTGTTCCGACCAGGAAGGCGCTTCATATGCGCTGACATTACTCAAGCTACAAGTCAGTATGAACTAATGCTTCACGCAGGATTTGAATGCTGCTGTCCTGAGTCAAAGTCCTGTTTTCAGCCCATTGCACCATGATGTCATTTGCCCACCTGATCTAAGAGAAAAAGCTGTGATTGGCTGAGCTCTCTCATCACAGGCTACTTTTTCTAAACACTGGAAACGCAGCCAAGAAGAGGAACAGAGTCCAGTTTCCCTTCAGACACTCAAACAACAATATGATAAAAAGTTAATTTTCTCCTAAAGAAGTCAAAACACAAATGCTGCCAACTCCAACTTTAAAAGTTACCAACCACTGTAAAAATTCATTCCTTTGTTTGAAGTTAAGGCCTTTTTAGATGAACCCTTCTGGTGTGTAAACGCAGGCATCAAGATTAATTACAGGTTCTCATGAGTCCAAACTAAGGTCTGTATCACACAAACACAGTTCTCCCAATTATTAGAAGCTTTTAAGCAATAAATAAGAAGAAATTAGAAGTTAAGAGCTGCTGTACTTTGGTATTTAATAAAAATATCTTCCAAGTTCCTTTACGTTTTTATTACAACTGAGCATCATATGGACATTAAAGGACATATTAAGTAATTTAAAATCCATCTATCATCTATACACCGCTCAATCCTCACTAGAGTCACAGGGGGCTGGAGTCTATCCCAGCCGACTTAGGGCGAAGGCAGGGGACACCCTGGACAGGTCACCAGTCTATCACAGGACTACACTTAGAGACAGACAACCAAGCACACTCACATTCACACCTACGGACAATTTAGAATCACCAATTAACCTCAGCATGTTTTTGGACTGTGTGGGAGGAAGCCGGAGAACCCATGCTGCACAGGGAGAACAAGCAAACTCCACACAGAAAGATTCCGGTGCCTCCACCGGGACGTGAACCGGCGACCTTCTTGCTGCAAGGCAACAGTGCTACCAACTGCACCACCTTGCAGCCCTGTGATTTAAAATCCATCCATCCATTTTCTATACACCGCTTAATCCTCATTAGGGTCGCGGGGGGGCTGGAGCCTATCCCAGCCAACTTAGGGCGAAGGCAGGGGACACCCTGGACAGGTCACCAGTCTATCGCAGGGCTACACTTAGAGACAGACAACCAAGCACACTCACATTCACACCTACGGACAATTTAGAATCACCAATTAACCTCAGCATGTTTTTGGACTGTGTGGGAGGAAGCCGGAGAACCCGGAGAGAACCCACGCTGCACGGGGAGAACATGTAAACTCCACCCAGAAAGATTCCGGTGCCTCCACCGGGTCGCGAACCGGCAACCTTCTTGCTGCGAGGCAACAGTGCTAACCAACTGCACCACCTTGCAGCCCTGTGATTTAAAATCTCCACCAAAAAAATCTATATTCAGAGCAACAAGAAAAACTATTTTCAACTATTGACCAGTTTGTTTGTTCATAATCTGTTCATAATTCTGTTGAGACTTTAGTTTGACTTCATGAGACAATGATTTATTTCCAACAAACAACGGACACCGGCGTCTACACACCAGGGCACAGACGGGGTTCGGAGTAAAATTCAGCGATGGCTTCAGGCTCTGTGGTCAGTTTTAAGGGCTTTTAAACTGTAAAGTGAATACATTAAAAAGTCTTCAACATCCAGTATTTACCCACAAGAATCGTGCCCAAGTGACATAAAGAGGTGTTACTTCTCTACATGAAGAACAAGTTGTTTTTATTGCATCAACACCAACATTTCTGCTGGATGTGAATCAGAACTATAGCATAACTCTGATCAAATTGCTTAGTCGTCAGTGCTGTTTGTCTGAATCACTTTGTGTTTGTTCGTTTCTTTCCAGTAGTGTTTTTTTTAGAGCGGCCATGCTGATGCCTCGCAGGACGCCTGGTTTCTGTACCATCAGAGTCCAAAAAAGTCCTAAAGCCACAAAAGCTCTTCAGTTTCTGTCACAGTGGCCATTTTAACCAGTCTCAGGAGGAAACTGAAGGACAGCATTATAACATTTAAAAAAACAACAAATGTGCAGTAACAGGTTCAACCGGCTACTTACACCCAACAAAGACTTATCAGTTCAGCTACCAAATGTATAAAAATATCCCTCTGAGTTCCTTGGATATACTTTTTCTTATAGTATAGTTTTTGATCTATTCCATATTTGACTTTGTCAAAAAAGTCCCCAAACTAATAACACATCAAACCTGGTTCACAGCATCTGGTGACACTCAGGGTTCAAGTCTGTTCTTCTTAATATACATAAAGTACGTGAAACTATTTTTACATCAACATAATGCAGGCTATTTTATTTTACTTTGTGACCTCCTTGAACTGTTCAAACAAGAATTCATTTTAAACCCCTTAATTCATTCTGAACATCTATTAGGAGTATCGTAAGCTTTTACAACCTTCAGTGATTTAAAGAAAAAAACAACAACCTGTGAAACACCTTAAAAATGATTTCATTTGCTTCTGTTCTTTGATTGAGGACTTTTAAAAAGTAAAATGTGGTTTTAAGTAGGATAATGAATAAATAAATACACAAATACTTTTTTATCACTATTAATTTGATTCACTAAACCCGAGTAAGACTGGATATATGAGGACTGGAATCAAGAAAGGGCCTTTTCAGTGTTTGTTTGTTTTTTTTGCATGGATAAAGGGATTTCTAAAGAGGACGAACCAGTAAAAAACATTAATTTGTGCTTTTAAAAATGACCTTAATAATTTCAGTAAGGTGCAATTTTTTTGTTTTAGAATTTTGGGTGAAACATGATTCTTGAAATGAACACAGTCGTGGACTGTGATGAATGTGATTCATCAGCATGGATTAAGAGGTTTTGTGTCTGTCTGATCTCTTTCAACAGCTGCTTCTGTCCAAACAGGAGCTTTGCAGCTATGATAGCATTGCTTTTTAAAAATAAAATGTATTCGTTTCCCCCTCTTTGATTAAAATGGCCGCCGTGGGCAATGGGTCATGTGACCTCAGCAGAGAGCATCACCTCCTCTGACTGGCCAGTCTGCTTTGGAGTGGTCGGACTTTGGACAGAACTTTGTGGGGTGGGTCCGTCATTGTCATCACACACTTGGTGTTGGCAGGAAGGGGAGTTACCGGGGCGACGGTGGATGAGGAGGTGGGCGGGGCTCCTGTAGTTGTTGTTGTTGTTGTTGTTGTTGTCACTGTCACTGTTGTCATTGTGGTGACTGGAGATGGACTGTTTGTCACTGTGACAACAGGTTTGGCCAGAGTGGTCTGGATCTCGGCCCTCCTGGCCAGAGCCGTCCTCAGCTTCTCCCTCATCTCTTCAATTTGTTCTTGCAGCTCCTGCAGCTCACCGGGCCGGGGCGGGACAACAGGTGTGAGGGGCGGGGCAACTGTAGCCGGAGTCGTTGAAGATACGAGGGGACGGGCTACACCTGCAGGAGCTGCAGTAGGTGCAGTGGAGGCATTGGGTTGGGCAGAAGAGGACGAGGAGGGAAGGGAGAGCACCAGGCTGGCCAATGAAGCTGCTGGCCCTCCATTCTCACACAACCTGCTGTTTTGGCCCGCCTTCGGCTTTGTTGGCGCCTCCTCGTCTGCCTTGGTCCCGCCTGCTTTGGCATCAGAGGCAGCGATACGAGCAAGCAGGCGACGAGTGTTGAGGGTCTCGAGGTTGAAGTGGACTCGTTTGAAGTCCCGGGCATCTTTAGCGGCAGCGGCCACAGCAGCATCTTTACTCATCTCATTGTTCCACTTCGCTGAAGCTCCAGGAACAGGAGGGGCCGGAGCAGACTGAGACTTCAGGTTACAGCTGAAGAAAAACAGAAAAGCACAACATCTGACAGGTAATTTTCTTTTGACAAACTTGTTTGATATTTTAGATGATGACAAAATGAATCACCTTTTGTCTTTCTCAGTTTGCTGCTTCTTCACGTCTTCATACGTCATGTTCAGAGCTCGATGGATCTTCTGTTAAACACACAAGAAGTCTGATCAGAGTATAACTAATACGCTTCCCCAGCTGGCTGTTTGACATAATGACACTGAGCTATAATTCCAGCTGTAGAGGTCAGAATGATGTACTAAATACACATATTTTCTACTATTCACCTGGGAAGTATGCAGCCAGTATTTCAGGTTCTGTCGGCGGCGAATGTGAGGCAGGACGAGTCTGTAAAAACCATGTTCACCTGCCAGGGTAAGTAAAGCTCCCGCCACGCCAACACACAATAGGACGAAGAGCCCCGAAAAGTGACTGATTCCCATCTGAAGAGTCTGACAGAGAAAGAAGAAGAAAGAGGGGACAGTAGTTCCTGTCTCTATCTGTAGAGGATGAAGTTTCTGTAGTTCCTGTCTCTGCCTGTAGAGGGCAGTGTTGTCTATGTTTCTTAACAAATCAGTGGCCTCTGTGGAGCTACTGTGTACTTTAGCAGCGAGTTTGCTCAAGACAGATGGTTCATCCAAATCAGCCACCACGTACTGTTTGTTAAAGCCGTTTCCATTCAGTTTCTGGGGATGACTTTGGTTCAGCGTCATAAAACATCAGGTTTGATGTGACTTTGAGACACGTGTTGTATTCTGGGATTTATGTTTACAAAGTGTGTTTCTCTGCTTCTCATTGCCCAGCTAAAACGCTCTCACGAAATCTCATGGAAACAGATTATAAAGTTTTATTTCCTGTTCTTATATATACAACTTTTATGTTGACCTTTTGAGAGAAGGGAGAGCTTAAAAGAGGCTCATCAGATTGTCAGTGTGCCAGAGTGGCCTGCAGAGGGCAGCAGCTGACCACCTGAGCTTCAATATCAAATGCTGTCAGTGCAGATTGTAAGTATGTGGATGCTTCACGTGTTCCCCTGCAACGACATTAAAGTATTCATCTGAACAGGCTACAGAAAGAAACCATAGAAATACACAAGGAACTGTGCCACTATAGTATTTCATATACTAACTGTCTAGACCAGGGGTCGGCAACCTTAAACACTCAGAGAGCCATTTGGACCCGTTTCCCACAAAAAAGAAAACACCAGGAGCCACAAAACCCTTTTCACATCTAAAATGAAGGTAACACTGCATTTATTGTTTTTACTTTTATGCTCTGTATAAAAAAAACTACAGTGTGTTGCATTTATGAAATCAATAAACTGCTACAGAGAAAACAAAAGTTTTATTTCTGCATGCAACAAAAACATTTTGAACTCTGACAAAAAAAGACGCTGGGTTGAAGGCTACTGTGAAATAAAGTACTCAATGTCTGTTTGAGTCCCCCTCATATATATGAAATAAAAAGCCGAACTTAAATCATCCACCTGCAGCAAAGTAAAACAGCGTGTGGTTGTCCTGCTGCCTGCAGCTGGGACTGCTGACCAGACTCCTGACCACCTCTGAGCGCTTTGGGGCGGGAGGAGCTCACGGCAGCACCGCTGTTCGCTGAGGACAGTAACTGCACAACAATACGTGTTTTCAAGTCAGTCTCCAAAACACCAGAAAAGTTTCCAGTAACACCAGAAGGAGTTGGAAGATTTGTTGCTAGTCACTTTTGACAAATAAAAAAAAAAAAAACACCAAGTGGATTTGGAAAGGGGCTGCAAGGTGGCACTGTTGCCTCGCAGCAAGAAGGTCGCCGGTTCGCGTCCCGTTGGGGGCACCGGGATCTTTCTACGTGGAGTTTGCATGTTCTCCCTGTGCAGCGTGGGTTTTCTCCGGGTTCTCTGGCTTCCTCATACACAGTCCAAAAGAATGTTGAGGTTAATTGGTGATTCTAAATTGTCCGTAGGTGTGAATGTGAGTGTGCTTGGTTTTCTGTCTTTAAGTGTAGCCCTGTGATAGACTGGCGACCTGTCCAGGGGTGTCCCCTGCCTTTGCCCTAAGTTGGCTGGGATAGGCTCCAGCCCCCCTAGCGAGGATTAAGCGGTGTATAGATGATGGATGGATGGATTTGGAAAGTCGCCCGATTTAGCGAGAAAGTCACCAAGTTGGCAACAATGTGTGTGCCGGTGGGTGTTGCACATCGGCGGTTGTGACGCATATTTTGAGTGACAAAAAATTAAAAATTTAAACATTAAACGTTATATTTTAATGTTACAAGAGCACCATAATCTTCAAATGTAGAATTACATTTTAAAAACTAACGAACTAAACTAAATACATTTTAATTAGATACTCATTATTTATTTTCCAAAGCCACAAGGAGCCGCAGCAGAAGTACAAAAGAGCCATAGCCAGCACTGGAGCCACGGGTTGACCACCCCTGATCTAGAGTGTACAGTTTGTTGTTTATATGTCATCAGACTAACCTCAGTGACAGCAAACACTCGGTTCCCACAGGGAACCACTTTGTACCACTTGTCATGCAGTAGGTCCATGTATCCGTCTGACTTATATCTGCTGATGAACTCTGAGATATTGGAGGTCAGAGGAGAGTTCTGAGGGAGACCAATACCATAACCTGCAAAAAAAGCAAAACACAAAACAGTGTCTCAGTGCCAACACCTGTGTACAATAATCAGTAAACTTCATCATATGATATTTTATAGGCTGATTTAATTACTTTCCTAAAGCCTCTGAGAGCAGACCTGTGCTGGTCAACAACAGAAACTAAAAGCAGTGTCTGTGTTTTAACACTAAATGAACAACGACTTTATAACCACAAAAGGGTCAAAAAAGAATCAACATGGGTTGTGTTATGATAGACGAGCAGTTTCTCCCCACTTCAGATCGATGTGCTAAGCTATGCTAACAGTGCTGCAGTCATCCAATGCTATCACTGAATGACTCAAAGGATTACTCACTTATCAGAAGTCCTGGCTAATTTCTGGTGAGGAAATAATGAACATGATATGTATTTGGGGGGGGTCTACAGGGCCAATCACACGGTGTTGCCTTATCATTATTATATGATCCCTAATCAGGATGCTTACGTCATCCAGGACTCTGAGCATGTAATTTAATCTGATGTATGTGACAATGACAGTTGTCAGGGCATCGGACATTTGATGCAGCAGGGGAACATTCTGAATATGAACCTGGTTTCTTGCAGTACATGCAAACACTCTGTCTTTTGTCTGCAGAGGAGTCCGCTCAAAAAAATCGTCAAACTGTTACAGAAAGTCTGTTCCTCTCCTTTGATTGGTTCAGACTAGTTGATGATGAAACTTCATGAAACGTGTTTTGAAAAAAAAAAAAAAAAGTGAACTGGAGACAAACCCAGAGGCACACAAATACATCTGCAGCTATACACTTGTAAAGATTTTATGACCTTTTGTGTGTGTTTAGGTGCTGGAGGCCACACTGGAGGTTTCTGTCTGTCTGAGGGGTTTAGTGCTTAGTTTTTCTATAAACCCTCAATATGCTTCCCTCTCTCTTCGAACAGCTTGTATCGATGGTCATGTTTTGCTTTGTTTGGTTCAGTCACTGCATCTTACGACAACGCTCAGTACACTACGACAATGTATCCACAATGATGCCATTGATGCCACTGGTTAACATACTCCATATATTATATTGCTTTGGTTAAGAAATACTCTTTCTGTCTTGGCCGTTGGTCACCTAATGACAAACTGGGGGCTCGTCCGGGATCGTATTAACCATTTTGGTAAGATGAAGTTTACCATCTGTGTGAACTGGCTGTAGTAGCTGCTATTCCTGTGACCATGGAGCTTGTTCAGAGTTTCCCGACTACCAAAGCATTTTTGGCAAGCTGTGTGTCCTTTGTTCTCTTTATTTATATTTGGCACTAATGTTAGTTTACTTTCATGCTCAAGAACCCTGAACCCGGGTCTACCCAGACGTTTGTGACTCAACAGACACTTTAATAGTCACTGACAGTCTGACTGTCCACACCGTTTCTAGTTAGTAAATCTCCCAATGTCCTCACAAGGGTCGAAAAACATACAGAAATATAGTTACCTTCAATGGCGAACGGTTTCCCGACAGTCGCCAGTTTACAGTCTGCGTCGATGGAAACTTCATAGTCCAACAGAGCTTTGTCCATGATGAAGGCGTCAAGCTGAGGAGGATCTGTCCTTCAGCACAGAGCAACATATTACTACAGTAACTCCTAACAACTGGGAGCATACAGCAACTACAGCAACTGAGATCACAGCTTTTTCCTGAGTCTTTGTGCTACAGCAACTAATGACAGCAACAATTGCCATTTTACATGGACAGCAATAACTAAAATGCTACAACAAATTCCAAGAATGACAGTAAAATCGGCACCTGTAACAAAATGATCAAAACAGTCACTGCAGCAACTACAGCAACTTTCAACACATAGTCAGACTGTACCTTCAACAATTAGCAATTCCTGTGACTACGTTGTTCTCCCGACCCTAGAAAACAAGACAGCTGCACACCTGGATAAGTGGGTGAACTGTGTGCAGTCAATCAGCTGTTGGCTGCTCACAGTTCAGAGATATAAACTGACTGGCTGACTACTCTCACAGACCATGTTGTGATTGGATGAATCTAAGCAGAAAACACAGATCTCAGGTTCAGATTGCAGGTGATGGACTGAAAGTACTGATCTGAGGCCAGTGTGCCTGGCTCCTTTCATTGGAGGTGTAGAAATGTACGTCAGCCTGAACTAGATTTTTCTTTAGTTCTTAGATGAGGCATCGTCAATCAGCAACACTTAAAAAACACTCAGATCTGATGCGGTTCTACTGTTGCAACCCATGGAACCAGACTTCTGCCACTACAAATGGAACCAGAGTAGAACCAGCAGCTAGCATCTGTTCTCTTACTTGAGGGTGGCGACTCCTTCAGGTGTGGTCGGTTCGTTGAAGCGTCTCATGTACTCGTGCATCTCTGGAAAACTCTTCTTCATGTAATCCTCAGCACTGCTTTCTCTCACTGTCCCAAAACGAAAACCGTGCGACGGATGATGCAACTGCACAAACCAACAAAGAAGAAGAAGAATGAAAGGAGGACCTAAGTACAGTATTTGTACTTTGGTTCTCTGAAAATCCGTTATTCATTACACCACTTTGTCCTGTGAGGATTGCAGGGGAGCTGGAATCATTCCCAGCTGACTTAGAGCAAAGGTAGGGTACACCTGGGCAGGTAACTTGTCCATTACAGGACCAACATGGACACACAACCATGCTGACTGTTACGGCCCCTACCGTATTTGTGTTGTTGTTTTCTGTCCTCTTGTCTCACATCTGTGATTTCATTCATGAGCAGGAGCATCACCGCTACTGGGACACTAGGAGGCTGGGGATTGGCTGGACCAACAGAAGAGGCGGTACTTAAGCACCCTCTTCTGGCCAGCTTGTGGTGGGGAGTCACCTTTCGTGTCGGCAGTAGTGATGTTCGATATCACTGATTTCCTTTCAGATCCGATACTGAGTAAAATGCAGACTGGTATCGGCGATACTGAGCCAATATTGATGCTTTGTGCAAACACACCTAATGTGTCTGGCAAATCTAAAAAAAGTAGTGTATTTTAAATCACAGCTTCATAATTATACAAGACAGCAGAGTAATTTATTCTTTTATTTATTTTAAACTCAGAAGTATATAGAGGTAGCAGCCTCATTTACAACACAGCTGAGCGAATACAAGAGCAGAAAAACCAGAAGACATATATAATAAATGCCACAATAATTGCACGTTTGTCAGTGCCTACATTTTAAAATATTCATTTAACAGATAAAGCAAATTAGATTGATTGTAAATACTAATAGATATGTTTTATAGATAAAATATTGTTTTTTTATCCATCTTTTCTATATTTTTCTAAGTTCACCATGGCTGTTTCATCGCTCTGTATAATGTAATGACACCTCATCTATGTAATCCACTTTAAATGATCAGTTCTTTAGGAAACATTACCTGAATAAATCTAGGCCTTTTTTTTGCCACAACTCCGTTTTTCCACAAACTGTGTCTTGGCTGTTTGATTTCATTTACACTCTGCCATTGTGTCAACAATTACGCACTTACCCAGGCGGAAGAAAAAGTAGTTCCCACCAACGACGTGTCATTTAGACAAGGTCTCAATAGTTTAGTTAGCTTCCGCTGTGTCCTGGTAATGAAATACGTTACCTCAAGTGACCGAAGTATCAAAAGTATCAATATTTCGAATGAGATTCCATTTTAAAGCATAAATCTCTGGTATCGATATTCCAGAATCGATCCACACATCACTAATCGGCAGAGCCTCGATATCCCTGAAATTATCTTTGGTCCTGTTCTGAGATTATTTGTTAGGCTAAGTTCAGACAGCAGGCTAAAGTGACCCAAATCAGTTTTTTTTTGCCTCTATGCGACCTGTATCTGATTTTTTCATGACAGTCTGAACAACACAGATCTGATTTTTTCAAATGCGCCCGAGGCCACTTGGACATGTGGTCCTAAATCCAACAGGTATCTGATCTCTAGCCATGCGACTTCTGTCTGAACAGCCAGGTCGCATTTATCCGACTTACACGTCATTGATACACGACAAACGTCACTGTTCTACGTCAGGCAGACTCCACGCCCACACGTTTCTCTGTACAGACGTTGCTGCCGCTGACCCACCAAACGCCATGGCCAAAACCTGGTACTCGCCATTTTTAATCTTCTCCTTGACACGATTACGTTGTAAATGTGCTGGCTTCTGCTGGCTTTAAAACCACAAGATACGCTATACGGCAACCCAGCCTCATGGCAGTTCGTGAACTAGTCACAAAACTTAATCTATTGATTTGTGTCAAGGGACACAAATTGACCAACTTTTTTGTGTTCTCCAGCACGAATTTCAAACCAATACATTTCAACTGAACGTATCTTTCGTGTCTGGGCCACGTTTTCCCCCCATTAGAGAGTGCATATACTGTAATGTTTTTGTCGTTCTATTCTTTCGACAGTCAGCATTAACCAGTTTTCCTGTTATGGCCCATTCACACTAATAACTATAGAGATCACTATACAGATGTGTGCGCCCACACTGACCAACGTTAACATTCTGTAAACATCAGCGCTGAGCAGCTACCGTGTGCTTCAACTGCTATAAGCTCCGTGTTCATTCAAATATGAAAGGCAGAAAAAACTACTCGTAGCTGTAGTAATAGCTGAAAAGTGGCGGGGGCATTAGCGTGTGCTTTAATTGCTTGCAAAAGCGTTCATCACCATCATTTTGTTTCTGACATGCAGTAATTTATGAAAATGTAAATTAAAGTCTCATAGGGCTGGACCTGAATATCCGAATATTCGGTCGTTGTGGTGGTTATCACCGTTACCATCCGTGTTTACTTCCCTAAACACTGAGCACGCTCACTGTGACGTCGTTGTGTCCTCCTTCTGTGCATGCGGGACACTTTTGGGTCGTATGAAGTTCACACAGCAGATCACATAAAAGTCGCATTTAATTGGAAATGTGAACGAACTCGCAAAAAAATGGGATTTCACCAAAACATCCGAATTGAGCATTAAGTCCTGCAGTCTCAATGTAGCCTTAGAATTTTGTAAGAGTGTTTGTTGCAGACACTGTAAGAGCTTCTTTGATAGAATTTGGACTGGTTGTGTTAGGACTCAGATGCTGAAACACTACTTATTTGGGTCATTTAATATTAAATTGTAAATATTTTGCTTGTAGTTAGTTATTTGCTTGGGCTGGAATTTTTGTCTAAAACTTGTTTCTCTTGTTTTGCTTAATCTAGGGAGGAATGTTTAGCAAATGTATTTTTGTTTATTTATGTTCTTTCCAGGGTTTAGCTAAGTTTTGGGGTTTTAGACAGCTGGTTCTGTTTGTTGTGTTGGCATCCACCCTGAAGCCAGGCTTCTATTGCTCTATTCTTTTATTTGTAATTACCATTTGTTGAACTGTGTAAAAGTAGGAATTTTGGTGGCAATAGACTGCCTATTTTTACTCCTGTTCCTCCTCCATGTTTCTTTTATGTTGTGTCTCTGCACCCCTAGACCGGGGATGTAACACTGACTCACACCCGCAATCAATACGTGGCTCAATTTAATAAGTCAATTGGAGCAATTCACCAATTAACCTTACTTAAAGTGATTAATCACAAAACGTGCAAACTCCACACAGATAGGCCAAGTCAAGATCTGAACCCAGGACCTTCTAGGTGTGAAGCGGCCATCTTGCCATGTAGAGCATTAGCTGGAGAACACAAGAACACTTCAGTGTTTGGTTTTGTTCGTAACATGTTCTTGTTCTCTCCACATCAAATACACGCTTTGAGAACGTCAAAAATATTCTCAAAATGTTGCTGTAGAGCACATGCTTTGTATAAACTTATACATTTTTTGATTCTCTTTTATTTTTCTGCATGGACTCTCTATGTTCTCCCCATGCAGCGTGGGTTCTCTCCGGGTTCTCCAGCTTCCTCCCACACAGTCCAGAAACATGTTGAGGTTAATTAGTGATTCTAAATTGTCTGTAGGTGTGAATGTGAGTGTGCTTGGTTGTCTGTCTCTAAGTGTAGCCCTGTGATAGACTGGTTACCTGTCCAGGTGAACCTGCCTGAGTCAGCTGGGATAGGCTCCGCCCCCCATGACCCTATTGAGGATTAAGGTGTAGAGATGATGGATGGATGGATGGATGGAGTCTGTGACGAATACACACTGAGGAACAGTGTATGTTTTCTTTAGCTTTTGTCCTTTGGTTTTCTGTGATTCTCAAACCCAAGTCCTCCTCCGAGGCATCCTTCAAGTGTTCTAGTGTAGTGGTACAGTCCAGATCTGACAACATGTTGTGGATTTTTGCTATCAGTCCGTTTTTGAATGGATCAAACAAAAATAGTGCATCCATTGCAAAGTTGGAGGCTGATTTGGAAAAGATGGCCTTAGTCTCCTTACATCTAATCTGTAGATATTTGAAGAAGTCTTTCCCATCTCAAACAAATTTTTCCTGTAACTGCTGAAATGTGGGTAAGATACTGTTAATGAATAGATTTTTTTTTTCCCGTACTGTATGCTACTTTCTATTCTGCTGCTGTAACACTTATAATTTCCCTGCTGCGGGATCAATAAAGGTCTTTTACTGAGTGTATTCCCTTGAAATACCATTGATTAAATGAGATATTCAACAATGATAAGGTGAATGCATGATTGTTTATCAATGGAGTAAACAGGGAAATAGCTTTCCATTCAAACTGCTTTCTTATTTAAGACCAGATTTGAATTGAGTGGGAAACTACAGGGAAGTCTGGAATGACCTCCTCCGCCTGCTGCCTCCGCGACCCGGTCCTGGAAAAGTGGAAGAAAATGGATGGATTGATGGAACGACAGGGTTTTTAAAATTTAGTTTGAGGGTTGAAAGAGCACAGTATATCAGAGCCTCTAATGAGGAAGGGCAGCAACAATCACTCTCCATCTTTATCCAATCAGTGGTCAACCAAAATGACATAGAGCAGATGTTACATGACCAACAATAGTAATGGAAGCAGGGCAACACATGTTGGCCCCTGCAAGAAAACCTTTTTGATTCAGGGAGTTGTTTTTGATCCATATGAAGTTTGATATTGATTGTAACTTATTAAAAAAACATTTGAATGCGCCCTGCTGGTGATTTTGGCAGATTAATTCATGAATCTATATTTTTCTTTGTTTCCACATACAGTTCAGAAAAATTATGTTTTACTAAGCCACTATATTCTTGAGTAATATTTATTCCAAGATATTTAAATTGACTTGAAAGAGCAAATGGGAAAGTGTTAAAAGTACTTGGATTTTTCCTAGCTGTAGAACTGATTGGACATAGTGTACTCTGATATAGATTTAGTTTGTATCCCACTATTGTGCCAAATTCTTTCAAAAATATCTATGATGACTGGGATTGATTTTGCAGGATTTGAGACATATAGTAAAAGGTCGTCGGCATACAATGAAACTTCATGCTCATTTTTTTCTTGTTGTTCCAGCATATTCTTTTGTTGAGCAAAGTACGAGAGCAAGGGGTTGAATAGAACAAGCAAAGGCGAGTAACAAGCAAAGTCGTGTAGAACGGTTCAGAGGAAAATAGCCAGAATGTTTATTGTTTGTTTGTACTGAAGCTTGAGGTTGGACATATAATAAATGAATAATGTTCAATAATCTTTTGATATTAAAAAAACAGTTGCCTGTCTTTTATGAAACCAATCTGGTCCTATGAGATTAGAGTTGGCAGAACTGTTTTCCAGGGCTGCAAAGTGGCGCAGTTCAGTTGGTAGCACTGTTGCCTCACAGCAAGAAGGTTGCCGAGGTTGCAAGAAGGTGGGAGCACCGGGATCTTTCTGTGTGGAGTTTGCATGTTCTCCCCGAGCAGCGTGGGTTCTCCGGCAAGGTCCAAAAACATGTTGCGGTTAATTGGCGATTCTAAATTGTCCGTAGGTGTGAATGTGAGTGTGCTTGGTTGTCTGTTTTAGTCTCTCTAAGTGTAGCCCTGCGACCTGTCCAGGTGTCTCCTGCCTTTGCTCGTAGTCAGCTGGGATAGGCTCCAGCCCCCCACGACCCTAGTGAGGATTAAGCGGTGTATAGATAATGGATGGATGGAGTTCATTTCGGAGCACATTAATGTCCGCTTTTGCTTCTTCACGTAGTGCTGAAATGTCTTTTCGTATATTAACATGCATAGTTTCTCTCTCTGCTTTTATATCCACCATCATACCTTCACTGAGGACGTATCCCCACGGAAAGTGTCCTCTTCCTTCACTTTGTTTCTCTGCCGTGCTGGATGGGGCCAAAGTTGTTTGTATGATTTGTTTGAGTGTACTTACGAGTGTTTCTCATCATCAAAGGATGTCCAAAAGTGGTTCGTATCAAAGTGTTTAACGCAAAATGTCAATGTTTATTTGACCCTGGAGATATATTTATCAAATTTATCTGCTGTTCCCTGCTGCTCTCTCCATCTAGCCGAAAGTCTAAAATTATATATATCAGGGGTTAGTTTTTCCATCTAATTCCCAAAGTACATTGCACAAGTGCTAGGAATGTCTCCTATAGCTAGCTAGTAAATCTGGTAAACTATGTGTTAAGGCAGTGAAAAATAGTCCATAAACGGATGTCATTTTCCTGGCAACATGAGCAAACAGACATTTAGAAAACTTTCACAAAACATTTAGACAGCGTTCACATAATGTTCAGCCAGCTGCAGGGCCTGCCGCAGTGCTGCACTCTGAGTCTGTGCACATTTAAAATAAAAAGCTAATCACACACAGATGGACGTCCAATTAAAGCTCTCTTAGCTCCCAGCAGCCCTGGCTGCACAAACACTCACAGGCGTGTTTCATGCTTCAATCAGCCGCTGAATTAAAAGTGTAATTAGGACGAGGCAGGTGATCCACAGAACAAATTTAATCTGTAATTATTTCAGGAAGCACAGAGTGAATGAATAGAGTCTGCAGAATGTTGGAGTTCACAAACACAAATCTGATTTACTATCATCAAGAATAATTACTTATTAGATCACTTTCATCATCTGACTGAAAATGTACTAAACCATGTTTCACATTACCACAGAACTGTCTTTGCAGCTCTGTTTCCTGCAGCCTGCCAGGCTCTCAACTCTAAGAAAGCTTGTGGAGACAGGATTCCTTTGAGGTGCTAAAAAGTACTGTACTGTGAGTAAAAAGCATGAAATCTGAAGAGGAAAAAACTCAGTCTGATTTTATTGTCTCACCTTGGCATCATGGATCCCTGTGACCTCCTCAAAGGTCTTCTCTCCCACCATGACAGCAGCGAGGTTGGCGGTGTAGCTGGACAGCACCAACAAGCAGAAGATGGCCCACAGGTTCATAAGAAAGCGGCCCGTCCAGCACTTTGGCGTCTTGGAAGAAACAGTGCGTCCGAACAGGATTGCGTAGCACAGATTGAGAGCCGACGAATACGAGAACACTCTCATCCTGTTGCGTCCGTGAGGTGTCATACCAAAAGGACTCTTCCATTCGTACAGCGTGAGGAACAGGGCTGTGATGTGCAGTGCCAGGAAGATTCCAACCCACATTGACCAGTGCAAGGGCCACATGAAGGCCCCAATAGGGGCTGCTGTGTCCTTACTGCGCACCAGGATGCCCAGACTGGTGGAGAAGAAGGGCGAGGTGAAGTCGATCACCTGACTCCGAGCAGAGTTAATGCTGAAGGAGGTGACAGCCATGTCTGTCAGACCATTTAAAAGATCCCCCACCAGCCCAGTCCAGCGGCCCCCCTTCCACGCTCCATACTTTCCATCTCCAACGATGTAAAGGTCGAACTCAAAACCCATGTCCTCCGCCAGCTTCTCCAGCAGGTCGATGCAGTATCCATAACAGCACTTGCTGTACTCTGAAGGCAAGAAACTGCCGTTCCCGCCGGCCACCTCCCTGAAGTACCTGTCCAGGCTCTCTGAGTTGTTGGTGCTGGCGTCCAGGCAGAACTGACCAGCCGGGCAGCTTCCCTCATCGTCCACATCCCGTGTAAATACAAAGGGATGTTCCACCAGGGTAACCACCCGGACCCGACTCCCTGCAACTGGCATCCCTGCTCTCCAGCGGACTCTCGTCTTCCCACCAATCCCATCTGTCTTGTGGCGAGATTTGGGCCCCTGCCAGACCCCTTGGTCCTCCACCTGGAGCTGGCCTCCCTCCCAGCTGCCCACTGTCACCCAGGTGGGCTGACCCAGCGCATCCCGCCGCAGGCTCCAGATGTGGAATCGCTGTGAGGTCTGAACCTCAGACCAGTTCTGGTGGACTCGAACTGGACCCGTGAGTCCAGAGAAAGATGTGTTTGACAGGAACCTGCACAAAAGAAAAAGAACAAATAACATGATGAAGGCAGAGCCTCTGAGAAACCGTGTTGGTTCATTGATCAGAGCAAGAAATCATAAATGTTGAAATATCAGGTCTTCTGAGAGGTTTTAAGATATCCAGTTCCTCAGTTTTCACATCCTGAAGAACAAAACTGATAAAGTTCTCTTACATTGTCCAAAATCCTAAGGAAGGTTCTCTAAATAAATAAAATACTTTAAACAGGATTTTCTAGATGATTTAGAACTCTTCGATTCTAAAGGGTTCTTTACAAGGATTTGTCTGCAAGACACCATATGGACTTCCACAGGGATCAGTTCTTGGCCAACATTTGAATGATCTCAGGTTTGCCACCACTCATGCATTAAAGAAAAAGAAGTCATCTTTATTTCAGTCTGACAACGATTAAACAGAGGAATATTTTTTTTTTATGCTAAAGCAAAGAGACAAGATATTAGGTCACATTTGAATTCAGATCTACTTAAAGTAAATGGAGGTGAAGAACTTCATGTCCTTAGTGCTGACTTTAGTTTCAACAAACATGTAAATAGTGTTTCAGAATTGTATCACTTAAAAAAGAAATCACTTAAAAATAATGAGAAAATAAATCTACCCTGGAAAGATTTTAATCTGAGCAGCCTCAGAAAACTCTTGATTTTTCTATGTCTAATTTCTCTCACTTTATTTCAGACGCTCTTGACATAGTTGCCTGATCCTAGTCAGCTGGGATAGACTCCAGCCCCCCGCGACCCCAGTGAGGATTAAGGTGTATAGATAATGAATGAATGGATGCCTGATCCTGCATTCATTGGAATTTGTCTTTACAGTAACAGTAATTAGATATGTGTTGACATGGCTGTACAGTCCGCTGGGTGTGTTCTAATGCTGTGTCTTCTGTCTTCTTGTTTTAATCTGTGTTTATCGTTGTAACACAAGCTGTTCTGAAAAATGAAAACAACAAAAAAATGAAAGGAGTCCTCCTGCGTGCTCGTTCTGAATAGCTGTTATCAGTATTTCCAGGCGTATAATTATTATTTTCTCATTGCTTTCTTGTTCTCATTAGGTTTTCTCTCGGGTATGAAATGTGACACATTGCCTCGCCGACCTACTCAGACTTTACAAACACAAATGGTTGGACAAAATAAATGCATTGATCATTGAAGATTTTAGTTTAGAGACTAAGAGAGATTTTCAGAGACAGATGTGATGTGAACAGCTGTGCAGGCTCATCGTTGGTCACAAACCCACCTGAATGACGTGACTGGTGGTCACAATATGAAGCTGTATGATCACTAAGTCACAGTGAGCCTATTTTCACCTGTTTAAGGCACATTTTCAAATCTGAAAACAGTCTCCAGATTGTTTCCAAAATGTAATGTGAGTCTTCAGAGTCATCACACGAGGTTTCTGGTGATTCTGTGACCTTTCAAACCTGCCATTTGGCTGCTATCATGCTCATTCCTAACTGTATATACTTCCTACTGGCTCCTTTTGTAAATATATTTATATATTCTTATTTGTCTTTTTTATACCTGTATTTTGAATCACTGGAGTTGTCTTTTAATTTCGTTGTACTTTGTGTATGATGACAGTAAATGCATTCTATCATATTTCTAGCTCGGTTCAACTATCAGTACAAAAGCCTTTGTTTCACAAAGCAGATATCAGAACCTGAGAGATGCAGTGCAACTTGACTTCCTGATGAATACCTCTGAAACTATTTAGAGTTTAAAGATGTTCTTACACGAAGATCTCGGTTTGATGAGTTTGTGATTTCACTTCATGTTAAATCTCTGATGTTTCAGTTTATCTTCACATTCTTTTTCTCACAGCAGATAATGTCTGAGCGTAATTTCATTTACTGTGAATGTGTTTGATCTGCTTCTGTCAGGAATCCCAGCCCAGCCGATACGTTTTGATCCACCTCAGACCTGCAGCTCACAGTGTTTTCTGAAGCTCAGCGTTTCTTGTTCCTTGTAGTATTTCTTAGTGTTCCTTGTAGTCTCATGTTTTTCGTCATTTGTTGGTTTGTGGTATTTGTTGAGAAGACTGTGCCAAGATCCAGCTTTCAGCCCTCAGGTGTTTTACATTTTGTTGCATGAGGGGGCTGTTTCTAAATAAATGTGAGGAGAGGATCTAACATGATGATCAGCCATGACAGCAGTCTGTTGGTATTTCATCCATCCATCCATCAGCTCTACACCTTAAAGGCCGCGGGGAGTCTATCCCAGCTGACTCAGGGTGAAGGCAGGTTCACCTGGACAGGTAACCAGTCTATCACAGGGCTACACTTAGAGACAGACAACCAAGCACACTCACATTCACACCTACGGACAATTTCGAATCACCAGTTAACCTCAACATGTTTCTGGACTGTGGGAGGAAGCCGGAGAACCCGGGGAGAACCCACGCTGCACGGGGACAACATGGAGACTCCACGCAGGAAGATCCCGGGTGTCCTTACCGGGACGCGAACCGGAGACCTTCTAACCACTGAGCCACCTGCAGCACTGTTGGCATTTCAGTTTTTTGTTAGTATTTTTGTTTGTTTGTTTGTGTTTTGTATAATTTAAACCACAAAAAGGAGGACTGATTTAAAACAGTTTATATTCAAGTCAGGAAGGAGGATTTGGGAATCTGAGATCTGATTTCTGCTCTGAATAGTTTGCATTTAATCTGTTTCCTTATTTCACAAAGCTTCAGAAAAACAACTTGATAGCAGATGGTTTCTAAAGAGTCAGTTAAAAGCATTCTACTAAACTAATAAATGGAACATATGAGCGGTGTTTGGTCCTCATTTTGATTATCTCTTTATCATCTGGTGTTTTTACTGTGATGCTGCTGAAGCAGCTGGAGGTCAGAGAGCCAGCGAGCAGCTTTAGGCTCTGTAATAAATCTCCTCATGAATAAAAGTTAAACCTCCAACATGCTTATTGCCACACTGAGAGGGAAAGTCCAAAACACACACAGACTGTATTTATGAATATATATGAATATTAATGTGCCTGAGAGGGGAGGATGGAGGATTCAGAGTCACCCTGAGGGATTTTCCTCCACGTTACTGATAACACTCGACTGTGTCTGAGTGAAGCCACAGCTTGGTGTGAAAATAATAATTCACATCAAACAGCTTCCGGAACTAATTTGCAGAAAAAATGACTGAAAATTGTAAAAATGTCAGTTTGATTAAATATGAATGGTGATTATAAATCTACTGCTGCTGTTGTTGTCATTCACTGATCAGAAATAACTTATTAGGAGTCTCCAACTGTTTGGCCTCATAAACCCGAATCATTCCACCGTTTTGTAATTATGGAAAGATGATTATATATTCTGGGAGGATTTATGTTTAACTCATAGGGACATTTGAGGTTGTGAGACTGCTGAGGACTGTGAGGTGTTGTATTTTCTCTAAGTGACCTGTATCTCTGTGAAACTTTATTGTAAAAATCTGCAAAACAACATTTCAGATATGTTGAACAGTAAATGAAACATGTGTGATTGAAACACGTCTATTTTCTCCAGTACAGACTTTCACCATAAATGTTCAAACAACAAATTGAAGTAAAAATATACATACAAAATGTGTGATAAATAAAATATATAATTTAAAAAAATATATGGAAATGAAGACTAAAACCTTGCTTTGTTCTCCTGCCGTGTTCATGTTTGTTTTCTTTTGTGAAATACGTTTAACTTGTTGCAAATACAGAAACAGCAATATGAGTCTGAATAGAGTCTTATATTACAGGACTATTCATTTGTGGAGTAAAAACTATTTAGACCTTCATAGCTTTTCTCAAAGATGCTCTTCAACCCAAACCCTAGACCAAAGAAAGGTGGATTATAAACAGAGATTCCTGACAACTCAGTGAATTCATGCAAACTGTGCTCCACAAAAAAAAAAAAAAATCTCCAAGAAAAACCCTCGAGAATGCTTCAATGCTAGTTATGCAACAATCAAACTTTGTCTTTTGATGTGTGAGCATCATGTGAGCATTTTTTCCACATTGAAATACTAAATTTAAGACAAGCATGGGCTGTTGCAGTTAGTGACTCTCTCCCTAATTGGGTCTGCTGTGGAAGTTGTGTGTTCTTTTATCTTGACTGCACAGTTTGTAACTTAACGCCTACCTCTGCAGAGACTGGCCTATAATCCTGTTAGAGCCTCTTTCTTATCTGTTGTGCGTCCAAACTAGCACAATTGCAGTGTTTGACTTTTCTCCCTTTGTTTCAGCAGAGCAAAGAATCTCTTAGCAGTGAGTATTTTTAATGGTTTGCTTCATATTTAATTTGCACATTTCAGAGAGTTGGAGCTCAAGGTCATTTCTCTGCAACATGTGGAGTCCAACAGGGCTGTATACCTGGTCCTCTGTGGTTTCTATCACACTATTCAGCTATTTTAGGTTCATATAAGAAAGAGAACACATTAAATCCAGTTTTAAAGGAGGGAGGACAAGAAGTGGCTCATACACATGCTAAAGACAGGAAACAACTAAAATTTTTAATGCATTTTTTTAGTAGATTTCTCCTAATGATATTGAGCTCAACTACAGAAATTGGCCCATCAGAGGTCTCTGACACCAGGAACGCTGCCATGAGGAAGATATTTTGATGTCTTTAGGTCTACTTTATGATTACACTTAAAACGTTCCTCTGTGATAAAGCCGACAGTCAGAGCTGCTCAGGATCACCTGAGACATCTTTTAGTTATGCAGCTGTTGGTTTAGACTGCTGGGAGACTCCCATGATGCACTGGGCTCCTCTTCCCTCCATACAGTTGTACACCAACATTACATTCACTAACTCTGTGTCTTCTCTCTCTGTAGTCGTGTAGTGTTTGTTCTCTGCAGACGTCTCTTGATCTGGAGCTTACCTCTCTGATCTGCTGTTGCTGAACTTGCTGACTCCCAAAATGCTCATTGTTCTTTTGCATTGCTTGTCTGTTCTGCCCCCCCACCCCCCCACTCCAGCCAAGATTAGGGTTAGTGTTAGGGTTAGGCTGCCCTCCCTGAGCCTGGTTCTGTTGGAGACTTTTTTTCCTCCCTGTTAAAGGGTTTTTTTTTGGGTTCCTTCCCACCGTCACGACTGCTGCTCACAGAGAATCCAAACATAAGTCTGGATTGTTGGGTTCTCTGTTCTGTTTAAAACTCGTCAGGTCTTCACCCACTATGTGAAACGCTATGAGATGACACATGTTGAGAATTGGTGCTATGTAAATGAAATTGAAATAAATTAAACCTATTCTCTCTTCACACCTGGAACAGTTTTTTTCTTCTCAGATCACCAGATATAAAATTATTTCTAAAATGCATGAAGCTTTCCTCTCGAGTCAATCTGAGTCTAAGTCTGATATGGATGTGATGGGAGAAACATTAGCGATGATGTGGTTACATATACTCTGAAGGTACAGGCTGAAATCGGCTTTACTCCTCTATATAAACGTAACTCTCACATTTCAGCTTTTGTTGTGGTCTCCAGTAAGGTATAGTCCTGACAATTCCAAAATGGCACCAGTGGAGCAGCCTGTTATGGGCAGCTTCATGTAGATTTGTAGTTTTGTGTATTTTTCTTAGTCTCAAGCAGTTTTCAATACTCTGTTTTTAACTGTATATGCTTTACAATCAGGAGATTGTGTCTGAGCAGAGCAGCAGATCCTGATACAGCCAGCTATAGTTTACTGCCAACAGGACCTACTGAAACTAGCACCGTTTGCTAAATTTGCTGGACAAGACACGATATTGTCTCAGAGGAGACATCAGCGTATTAAAAGCAACAGGAGACACAGAAAAAGCATGGATGGGGAATTTTCACACATGTGTAATCATGGGAAATGTTCACTGGCCAACAGTATGAGACTGGAGACCCTTTTCAGCCGCCTCATGTACGTCATAGAAACATGGCTACAATTCTGCAATTTCATTTAGCAGACGCTTTTATCCAAAACAACTTACATCTGAGAGTAGATACAAAACAAGCAAGGGTCTAGTCAGGACAAAACAACCTGGATAAGAGCCATACAAGACTGCATCCCCAACTGAAACACCGGCAAGAGAACAGGTGGGAGGATTGCTCCACAACCTTGGTCATGCTAACATGGAGGATCAAGTATGCAACAAGGATGTTAAACTCTTGGCAGTGAGTTTGATACTGCACAATCTGCTGAGGGATTCCCTGTGGTGATCACCGGGAAGCAGCTTGTGACTTGTACATGCTGCTGCACTGATGCATTCATCCTCTCCAACATACTGCCCACTTTCCAACAGTTTGTTGATGCCCAACAAGACGCTAATGTAAAAGTGTGTGTTCATCTACCTATTACCAGTACTGAGGGATCAGATCGATCATAATGTGGTTCATCTCTTTCCATCCTACAGCACACTTTTTAAAAGGATGCCTGTCACCACCACAACTCTGAAATGCTGCTGGTTGCAGGAAGCAAAAGGAAAATCTGCAGTACAACGTGGAAACAACAGACTGGGACACTTTCTGTGAGTCATATGAGGGTGATAATTATGGATTAACAGAATGTGTCACTGACAGCGTATGTTTCTGTGTTGATAATACCATGCCCAGCAGAGAAATTCAAGTTTCCACACATTTGGAAAGACCATGTATATAAGGGCAGTCAGGAATTTCTAATAAGTCCCATAATTCAGAATTTTCTATGATTGAATCACCCAAATACACAAAACGTTGTCACAAAAAACAATCCTGTGTTTTGGTTATTTTACAGATTTATTGAAAATCTTCTGGAAATACGACAAAATCTGCTGGATCATAAATAAACATGCAGTAACTTGAATTATTAGTTTAGGTGATACAGAAAATTATGTTAATCAGATTGTCTTAGTTTCATGACCTCCTGGCTTCTCCTGAGTGGTTCTGATTGATTCCAGCTGCTGACTCCTCTGATCCAGTTTCAATAGAACCATCTGATCCACTCATTAGACTCAAACACAAACACTACAGTGGGAAAGTCTGAGGAGCTCAGCAAAGATCTGGAAAAGAAAATCAGAGACTAGAACCTGTCAGAATGTCACTTGGAGCCATTTCAAAGCCGCTTCAGATCCCAGAACCATCAGTTTGTCAGTATAAAGTTCATGGTCCAGTTGTGTTACTGCCTCCATCAGGATGAAAACACAAACTATCACCTGCTGCTGAGAGACGATTGGTCAGGATGGTCAAGAGTCAACCAGGAACCAACAGAAAGCAGCTCTGGATGAATCAGAAGCTGCTGGAACACAGCTGTCAGTGTCCATCTATACTGTATACTACTATTACATGTTACAAACATACTGCAACAGCTCTAAGTCATAATTACTCTTTCGTACTTCTGTGAATAGTTTTGTGATAGAGATGTTTTTTGTTCAGCATTAAATGTGGAGGTTTGACTGTGATTGGCACCGTGGTAGCAAAGAAAGTTTCAGCAAAGGTAATAATAAAGTTTTCTGTCCATCCATCCATCCATCCATCCATCCATCCATCCATCCATCCACCTACCTACAGTCCATCTGGTTTTGCCTCTTTGTCATATTTTACCACTAATTCTTGGAAATAATTGAAAAATCTTTCTGATGGTTCACATGGGTGACTTAAATGTCAACTACGGCAGCACTTCGATGGAAATCTGAGCCAGCAGGATGGCGTGTTAATGAAACTAACTAGAGAAGATCACATACTGGTTGAGAATCAACTGGAAAACCTGTGGCAGACTATAGCAGCCATTTACTGATAATGTTTAAAGAAACAACAGCTGTTACTATTGCGACGCTGTTTGAGTTCTGATCTCTTCCTTAGCACAGTGTTTGTTTCATTTGTAGATATTGAATGTAATAAATCTAAATTAAATATTTATTCGATGTAGGGAAGAAGTGAGGTTCCTACCTGGACAGGTACTGTCCTGATGATGGCACCTCATGTTTGTTGGGTTTGTCGTAGCAGTTCACCATATTCTGGATCAGAGCCAGGTCTGGTCTCACCACCGTCGCCGCAGCCATGGCTCTGGTCACGAGCTGCAGGGCGTCTCTGACGTAGAAGTCGAGCGGTTTCCTCTCCACCTCTCCGTAGGCCAACAGGCCGAGTGGCAGCCCGATGGCATGCAGCGCGTCAGGGCTGAGTGGCTGGCCCAGAACCCAGTGCACCATGGGTAATGTCAGGCCCAGGTCCTGGGCGCTGCGCAGCACCGCCGCCGCGCACTGTGGGTCGGCCCCGAACAGTAGTACTGACGCTGGTGGTGGCTGGTTCTGTCTGAAGTGTCGGGACAGGAAATCGTGGATCTGCGTATCATCGTGGGACGACTGCGTCAGGTTCAAGAGGGCTCGCAGGTGCCAGTTGACGCTGCTCCCACCATCCCACGATGCACTGCCATGATGGTCCAGGAGCTGCAGGAGACCTTGAGCCTCCTCCCAGCCCCGACACAGAACTGCAGTACCCTCCCTCCAACCGGACCGCTGCAGAACAGTCAACAGCAGATCGGAGAGGCCGGACTCTGGGACCCCCGTCACCATCTGCAGGTGGAACTGGTTCTACAGATGAAGAGGTGAACCACGAGGAAAACAGAGTTAGAACATGACAGGTTGAATCCTCAATAAAACATCAGATAATTCAATCCTGTTTGTGTCTGGAGGTTAATGTTCCAAAAACCAAAAGAGAAGTAACAGAAAACATTTTCCCATTTCAATCAGTTTCCTCATAGGAGGACACTGGAGCAGAAAGGCTCTAGTCATCCTTTTGAGGGAAATAAAATTGTTTCAAAACATTTGTACCTATGTT